CCACCCACCTCCTGAGCCAGGTCTATCCACCCACCCACCTACCTCCTGAGCCAGGTCTATCCACCCATCCACCCACCCACCTCCTGAGCCAGATCTATCCACCTACCCATCTCACCAATCTTTTCTAATTTTCTCTCATAACCCTGAACTTCCCGTCATGTCACATGGCTTGTGCTCCTCCCCAAACACTGATCTCTTTCCTCTGCCCTCTTAGGTCCATTTATTCTTTTGTAGGCTTGCCCAGTCCTCAGCCACACACCATACACACGGCCATGTCCAGCAGCCCTCCCCGGCTCTCAGTCCTGGTACCCCCCACTGCCTCTCCTGTCCAGTAGCCCTCCTTGCACTCTCAGTCCCGGTGCCCCCCTCTGCCTCTCCCAGGACACTTCTCACTTTCTATTTCCATTCAAAATGTTGGAACAAACGCCGTAACTTCTTACTTTACAGGGCTTTTTAAAGGTAATGATTGGTTCTTCACCATACTAATAATCCATAGAGACCTTAAAATAGCATCTTGGACATCATAGGTGTCCAATAAATATTTTGTGCCTGAACTGAAATATAAGTCACTAGCACCATGTTTTCCCATTTGTCCTTTGAAGCAGGATGTATTCAGATGCATAACGTCCACAAACAAGGACAGCATAATTTACCTTACAGATTTCATACTGATGACTCCTTCAGATAGGATCTGGGTCCCAGTTCTCTGAAGGAGATGTGCCATCGCTACTGATCGCTGTCAATCCACTACCTGTCTGTGGCTTACTCCCTCCTCCACTCTAAGGAAGCAGTACCTTCACCATGATCCAGCTGACACAGCCACAGACCAATGATCTCCATTCCCCAGAGACACCCACTGAGTAGTGGTCATGGTGGCTGACTGGTTGGAGCTCACAGGCCGCCCTCTTGGAAGGCACACACCATGCTGCCCTGACATTCATGTCACTCACACGGCATCAGCCGGACACAGCTGCCCACAGAGCTACGTTACTTTTCATATAACTTTGCTCATCTCACTACAGCATTTTAGATTGTAATCCTGGTCTCCATCTTTCTTAATGGCTGCATAGTATTCCATGGTGTACATATACCACAATTCATTGATCCATTTGTGGATCGATGGGCTCTTGGGCATCTTCATGACCTAGTAAACTGCTTCTGTAATTGAGATTATTCATCAAATTGCCTTAAAATATGTAAAGGGGCAACTTCTGGGGAAGCTGATAAGCCCCTTGGCAGTATCGTGCTTTGTAGGAAACATGGAGATGTAGAACTGAGAGAATGACGGAGACCCACGTGTCTCATTCCCAGGGAAAGGGCAGCTCATTGGCTCATGCTATGGGTACGTGGTTCCCCTTTTCTACATTGAGCCTTAGAATCCATGAGGCTGCTGTTGGAAAACATTCCCCTTCAAAGTGAAACCGGTAAGCTGAAAGATGAATGAATTACCTTTTCATTTCTTGGTTTGAGGTTGCACAGAGGCAAAAAGTCCTATTTCCAGATTGAGGCACACAGTTAAACACAAATGGTTTTCCTAAGCTGCTATCAATGCCGACTTCTGCACCTTCTAATTTTATTTTCTCTAGAGGCGGCCATTTCCCTTCATCCTGTAATTGATAAGGAAGACATTCAGTGAGGGCACCATCACCAAACAGATGAGGGAGAAAAGGATGGGGAAAGAATGATGAAAATCACTGTCTTTTGGTTCTGAAATGAAAATAAAACCAATGGATTTTTATAGATTGTATAGATTGTTTCATAGAGAAGAGATTTGTTCTCTATGATATGGTCCATGGAATGCAAAGTTTTCTAGCTATGATTTTCTTCCACATCCTTTTTGAATAACCTCTATTTATATAGATTTTAATTATGCCAGCTTGGGAGAGTATCATTTAATTATTAATGCCCATTTTTTCACATCAGAGAAAAAGAATATCAAAAGAAACTGATATCACAAAATATACATGGTTGGTAGTGATGTCGTATCTCTAGTTAGTACTTATAACTATCACGTACTCCATGTCTGTTGTGGGTCAGGCCCTCTTCCAAATTCTTACATCTATTAACTGGTTTATCTCCACAAATTCTCATGAGGTAGTTACTCTTATCATCGCCATCATTCAGATCAGGAAACATACATGGGCTTGGTGCCCATAGCATAGTGGTTACGGCCCTAGCCACATGCACTGAGGGGGCGAGTTTGAGCCTGGCTCGGGCCAGCTAAACAACTGCAACAAAAAAATAGCCAGGCATTGTGCTGTTCACCTGTGGTCCCAGCCGCTTGGGAGGCTGAGGCAAGAGAATCACTTAAGCCCAAGAGTTTGAGGTTGCTGTGAGCTGTGATGCCACAACACTCTACTGAGGGCAACACAATGAAACTCTGTCTCTTAAAAAAAAAAAAAAGAAAGAAAGGGCAGTGCCTGTGGCTCAAAGGAGTAGGGCACCACCCCCATATGCCAGAGGTGGTGGGTTCAAACCTAGCCCTGGCCAAAAACTGAATTAAAAAAAAAAAAGAAAGAAAGAAAAAGAAATTGATGCATGGAAAGTATAAAGAATATTTTTCTTTTAAACAATTCCATCTATCATTGGGCAAGAGACAGGAACAGAACCTCCTCTAAAGAAGACAGGCAAACAGCTAAGAAACATTTGAAAAAAATGCTCATTGTCCCTGATCATGAGAGAAATGCAAATCAAAACCACCCCGAGAGACCACCTAACCCCAGTGAGAATAGAGTACATCACAAAATATCAAAGCTGCACATGTCAGTGTGGATGTGGAGAGAAGGGAACACATTCTACAGCCTTTATGGGAAGAAATATGGAGAATTTCAAAGAGCTAAATGTAGACATTCCATTTGATCCCACCATTCCATTACCAGGAATCTACCCTAGTAAATCATTTTATCACAAGGATATTTGCATTAGAATGTTTATTGTGGTGCAGTTCATAACTGCCAACCCAAATGCCCATCAACCCAGGAATGGATTAGCAAGCTGTGGTAGCTGTGTACCATGAAATACTATTCAGCTGTAAAATAGATGGAGACTTTACATTTTTTGTATTTACCCGAGTGGAGTTGGAACACATTCTTCTTAGTAAAGTATCACAGAATGGAAATGCAAGTATTCAATGTGTTCAATACTACTATGAATAATCGAATAGAAAAATAACTACATGTCATACAAGAGAATAACACAAGTATATTCAAATGGGGAGAGAGGATGGAGGGAAATGGAAAAGGAGAGGAAGGGCGGGGATTGGTGAGCTGTCACCTGACAGACACCCCAGGGTGCGCAGCACACCCCAGGACGAAGGGCACAACTGCCTCAAACACAACTTAGATACACAAACAGTATCACCTAATCATTCGCACCCTCATATTAATCTGAATTTTAAAAAAGTTTTTAAAAGAATACTTTTCTGTAAAGGACAGTAGTTTAAAATATCATAACATGTATGAAAAACAAAATCATCTTACAAGTAAGTATTATGCTATTTGTAGTTATATAACAATATATCTCAAAACGTCCCATCTATGATTGTATCCTTTCAAAAACATCTGCCCTGAAATACGATTTACATGCCATGAAGTCACTCATTGTACGTGCACAATTCCATGATTTTAATGAATTTCATAGAGTTAGGAAACTATCACCATAATCCAGTTTTAGAACTTTCCCAGTAGCTCCAAAATGTCCTTTAAACCTGTTTGCACTCAGTTGCCATTGTCGCTGCCCCACTCTATCATCACAGGCAACAACAACAAAAAGCTTTGTGTCCTTATGCATTTCCCACTTCTGGACATTTCATATAAACACTCTCATGCAGACGTGATCATTTGTGAGTGGCTTGTTTCACTTAGTGTAATATCTTCCAGTTTCATCATGACGTATCAGTACTTCATTCCTTTCTTTTGCTGAATTATATCGTCTTACCTGGATAGGCCTTTTTTAATGCTTTCACAAGTTGATGACATCTTTACTTCTCATGTTGGGCAGGTCTTTGTGTGGGCACGGGCTTTCATTTCTCTTTGGCAGATTGCCAAGAGCAAGAACGCTGAGTCATACGGTAAGTTCATCTTTATCTTTACAGGACACTGCCCGACTGTTTTCCACAGTGGCTGTGCCTTTTTACATCCCCACCAGCAGGTGTGTTTCTCAGGTTCACCCATGGTTGGGAACGTCTATTTTTTAAATAGTTGCAATTCTAGTGGGTGTTATCTCATTGTGCTTTTCATTTCATTTTTCTGATGACTGATGGTGAGAGCACAATGTAAGGTGTTTACTAATCATTGATACATCTTCACAGTTGAAATATTTTTTCTTTGGTGGAATGTCTTTTGAATATTTATTCTATGAGAAAAACATCAATCAAATGATAATCAAATGATAAATGAAAAGGGATACAAGTTAGTAAGAAGAAGGTTTATGTGCTTCCCATTACTACCGTGCATTTACTTGGGCACCTAATAAGTTCTTGTTGCATAACGAGCCTGTGCCTTTAAATCTCAGCGTCTTAGCTCACACATGCTGTCTGGGCCTGTGCACATGTGTATTGCAGAGATGTGTCTCTGACCTCAAGACTGTTAACCAGTTTAGGTAGTGAACTTCTTCAGATGCTGATGAAAACTCCGGCCGCTCTTACCCTCCGAATACATGTGTATGTATATGTATGCGCGTGCACAGACACAAAGCAAAACACATCGCAACTCACAGGTGGGTGGACAGAAGGATATATTTTAACTAAAAGCAATGTCACATAGCGGTCTGGCATTTTCAGGAACTGTCCTCTTCATTCTTCATAAATTCCGTATGAAGTAGGAAGCTAGTATTACCCTCATTCTCTAAAGGAAGAAAATGAGGTTCAATTAGATGGCCTAAGGTTACATAGACAGAAACAAGATGGAACGTAGGCTCTGATGTTCTAACTCTGTTTTCCCAAACTACTTGTACCCAATCCCTGGCTTTGGGGCCTCTGGAATTTGGAGGACTGCTGGCTCTCAAGTCAGCATTTGAAAGCTGTGGTACTAACATTTCAGAAGGCAATGTATCTCCAGATGGCATCAGCTTCCCTGGAATAGAGTTAGAGATTTAGAATTTTGATCTGTTTTGTTGAATATCAGGAAAGTAGCATATCTTATAATAATTGTAGATGGCCAATATGATATGAGACACCAGAATATGCTTTCATTTGCTTTAGTAAAGACAAAAACTTTGTATGGTGACACAGAGTGGCTAATTATTTATGTCCTTTTACCAGGAGCATCTAAAATAAAATAAGTGAGAACACACAAGTAAATCCTGGACATTTTACCCTGTTGGTAAATGACAGGGGTGTTCATTTGCTAAGAGCAAGAGCTCGCTGGGTCTTCTTCCCTGTGGATCCAGATACAGATGGGATAATGTGGTATGTTGTTCTATCAGTATCAGTGCTGTTGGGCTGCTCCGGCACTGCCCGTGTTCACCCCCGTCCTATGCTGTAGGAGGACCCAACAGAGCTCACTCGTGTGGCACATGACACAGCCAGGAAGAGCACCTGACGTCACTTATGAGATCTTTCCATTCTGCTCAAGTCACAATGGTATGAGAGGAATGAGTGACTGGTGAGTGGACTGGAATCAAAAGCTAGGGCTGGTCTCTCACACGGCCTGTTGTTAATAATCCCTGCTGCTGCCTGTGAGCCTGCAGTGGCCCGGGAGCATCTGCAAGGACTCCGCGGACACAGTGCCGTGCACAGGTGCGGGTGCTCCTACAGCCCTGCCCACTCGGCTCACCTTTCTCTCTCCATCTCACCACTCAAGCACCTGTATTTCCACTCATGAGAAGAATCAGGGGCAGGACAAGATTCTTCATTTAGTCTCATCCTAATTTTGCTTGAATTACAGTGTTGTATCCCCCAATCGAAAATTTTCTGTGTGTAAAGGACAACTACACTCCCTCGTCTATCTTACTGCTCTACACTTGGGGTTTTTTAACTCCTGCCTTAAGAAAAACTCAATCGCTTGGTTTGGCAATAACTATTAAAATGATTGTGCCGGAATCCTTCCATCCAGCTCCACCAAGGCTTTCTTATGTCAGTGTTGAGGACAGAGAAGATGTTTTTTAAGACTCTGGTTTCCCATAACTTTATATTTTCCTTTGTGAGATGCAGAAAAGCTCCAGTTCCAGCTTCATTTTTCCGAGTCATACATGAGCTGAGTCATACATCCAGCTGCTTCATGTGTGTGGGTTGATTAACAGCGGGGACACTGACGGGGTTTGCCAGGGAATGGCTCAGTGCGGCCCAAAAGCAACAGACTGAGAATAAAGGAACAGGGGCTGTGTGTGCGGGTTGGCCTTAGATAACATTGACATTGTAAAAGGAAATATTATTTCTGCAGAAATAATATCAAAGATCAGACTTCTCAGAAAAGAAATAGTTAACAGTAATGACAAAAACTCAACCCAGAGTAAGCATACGTCCCAATTAAATTATTTCTATAAAGAAAAACACAGATGAAGACATTTGAGACTCTGAAACTTAGTCTCTCTGCTAAAAATAAATCACCTCTAGTTGTTTACAAATTATTTGTTTCAGAGAAAATTTCAGTTTGAACATGTTAGAAAT